TGGCGCACGCGTTTAATCCCAGCACTCGGGAGGCAGAGCCAGGCGGATCTCTGTGAGTTCGAGGCCAGCCTGGACTACCAAGTGAGTTCCAGGAAAGGCGCAAAGCTACACAGAGAAACCCTGTCTCGAAAAACCAAAAAAAAAAAAAAAAAGAAAAGAAATAATACCTCTGGATGAAAAAAAAAAAAAGAGGAACGAGGACATGACAGCTGTGGGCATGGTTGAGGAGAAACTTTTATTGCAAAGATGAGGAAGAAAACAGCCAGAGGGTTCAGATTGAACCAGGCCAGTAGAATGATCTAGGCCGTGAGAGGACACTGGGATACGGAGAACCAGAGAGGGACAAGCAGACCAAGAGGACCCAGTAGCCAAAAATCTCTGCGGTTATAGAGGGATCAGGCTGCCGGAAGGGAAGCGAAGCCCCGCCCCTGAGCAGGAGAGGCTCAGGGTAGGGGGCGTGGCCAAAAGTGCTGGGAGGAGCCACCGGTAGGTACCGAGTGAGACTTGTCCTGGGTTCCTTTGAGACCTGGCCACCTCTGCTGCAAACCCTCCTGTTTTCGTGAAACTTTCTGTCCTTTGTGTTCTCGCAGTGCTCTGCTTTCTTCTAATAAGGATAACGAATAGTAACACCAGTGTGCGTCAAACTATGTGCACGATCTCATTTAGGCCTCACAAACTACCCAAGTTGGATACTATTATCTCCTACAGGTGAAATAACAGCCTGGAAAAGCATTTAAAACAAAAAAAATCTTGCCCAAGTTTACACAACGAAAGTGCCTGAGGCAACATTTGAGCTAGAGTTGTGACAGAACTCTGGGTCTTGGTCATGCGACTACATCCACACTCGGATGTTCGCTCTTTGGGAGCAAAAACAGTTTTTACCTTTTAGTTTAGGCAACCCTAGTTTTTGTTGTTGTTTTGTATTAAATATCCGAAACATGTTTATCGGGATGGTTTTCCACTTACCTCAGAGTGATTTTTTATCCTGCTTCCTCCAGAAGGAACATCTTTCTGTCAGCCTTGCTCTTCCTTCTCGAGGCAGAGGAGAACAGGGGAGCTAAAATAGGAAAAATGTCTGCACTTGGGGCTAAGGGCTGGGGTGGGTTTTTAGCAGCCTGGGCATCTCACAGCCTTGAAGGAGGAGTTGGGGCTAGGCAGCAAGAGCTGCTTCCTGCTTCCTCTCTCCTTTCTGGAGAGGGATGGAGGCGTCCCTTTGAAGAGGTGTCTTGTTATAGGAAGGTTGTCACTACCAGAAAACCCCAGATATTTTTAAAGGCCTTGTTTTATAGTATATGATTAAATGTTAAAGTGATTCATCAACCCACATGCTCCATTTTCAAGGTGCGCCTTTCTAGCTCTCTCTCTCTCTCTCTCTCTCTCTTTCTCTCTCTGGCTCTCTTCCCCTCTCCCTCTTGTTCTCCACTCATCCTTTCTCATTGTCCTCAAGCGCCAGGCCTCCTACGGCCCTTCAGTCCCAACCTCCTGATTGGCTATTACTGCAGGCACGTGGAGCCATCGTACTTCCACATCCCCCGTTCTTCAAAACAAGTCAGGTCGTTAGATTATGCGTTAACTATCCCCCCAAACCCATAAACCTTCCTGATACACCCTCGGGAGGTAGTGCAATTTCTTTTCCTTTTTTAGACATAACTCTCTCCTCACTTTTGTCTCTGAAAAACACCGAGTTGTGGCTGGGTGACATGGAGGGATAGAATGTAGCAGCTTTTCCTATTTCAACAATTTCCTTTTTTTTTTTTTAATAGAGAAAATTTCAAATGACTTTTACATACTCATTTATTTAGATACAAAAACCTAGCCAAGTAGATAAGCTGATATGATTACCCTATATTCTTCTACTGTTTTATATCTCAGCTGTATTTTTATAATTCTCTAGTTCATTTTCATTTTCCCTAGCTTACTTTGAAAATAATCCTTCTGATGCACACACACACACACACACACACACACACACACACACACACACACATCCATATCTGAGTTGGCTGAAGGTGCAGCGATTTCCCGTATCTGCCTACAACTTTTTAAAATGCCCATTAAAAATGAAGTTATTAACTTTGTGTGGGGGATAGCATTCTGTTGCTGAGCTACACCCCCAGCCCTTTGCAGGTTTTTGTTTTGTTTTGTTGATCTCACCAAGTCGCTCAGTTCTGGTCATGAACTTGCCTTTTTACTAGTTACAGTTATAGGCATGTACCATCATGCATTTTTAAGCTTTTAAAATTAAGTTTTCACACTATAGCAGAGTTATACTTGACATTTGAGTTCTATGTCCACATAAAACAGGTGTATCGGGTGGGTAGTGGTGGCGCCTGCCTTTAATTCCAGCACTTAGCTGAGCAGAGGCAGGTGGAGCTCTATGAGTTTGAAGCCAGCCTGGTCTACAGAGTGAGTTCTAGGACAGCCAGAGCTACACAAAGAAACCCTGTCTCGAAAAACCAACAAACCAAACAACAACAACAACAACCCCCCCCCAAACCAAACAAAAAAACGGTGGTGGCGCACGCCTTTAATCCCAGCACTCGGGAGGCAGAGCCAGGCGGATCTCTGTGAGTTCGAGGCCAGCCTGGACTACCAAGTGAGTTCCAGGAAAGGCGCAAAGCTACACAGAGAAACCCTGTCTCGAAAAACCAAAAAAAAAAAAAAAAAAAAAAAAAAAAAAAAAACAAACCTAGGTATATCTCTCAATAAACCAGAAGATAAATGGTATATAAGTGTCCTTTTAGGTATGTTTTAAAATCAAAGTGGTCCAAAAATTTTTTTAAAGAGGCTAAAGATTAATTTCACCCATCTCTTTCCTAACTTTTACATATACATGTGTGCATTCCAAGTGCATATAAACTAAAACTTCTAATGTAGGCAGAAAACTGCTATAGTCAGAGCTATTATGACTCTGTAAGAAGCTCAGGGCAGAGGAGGAAAGGTACCTGTGGGTGTTGGCAGTTTGAACTGCACTAGACTGTCCAGTCTGTACTGTGCTCAGAGACTGACCTGGACCTTAGGAATGTTTTCAATGTCCTTGTATTCTGTTTTGTTGTCTTGTACTTGTTTGTTCTCATAGTTCATAATCAGGACAAAGCTAGTTCAAAAAAAAAAGGAAAAGAAAAAAAAACATTTGTTACCTGTAAACCTCAATCAAATGTTGCTTTTAACATTTATTCTTCTGTAAATACAGCTGATTTCCACCCACAATTATTTTTAAGATAAGACATTATGTTGGGCCTGGGGATGAGGAACATTATCTTATCGAAGCACAGGCACCAAGACAATCAGTGTTCTTGGAGGAGACTGTGGATGATGAGTCACCTGGCCAGGAACAGGACGTGGCCAGCTGTAGGCGGCCGTCTCTAGTCTAGTAAAGCTCTGAGGCACAACACCTGACTGTCATGCCAGCCCCCAAGGAGGAGTCGGCCCCATAACAGGCATTTTTATGAGTTGTTAAGGATCACACGTCCACGTAGTTCAATTTCTGCTTTGGAGTTAGTTTTTAAAACCTGATTTTTTTTTTTTTGAGAGAGTGCTGCTATGTAGATCATGATGGCCTCAGACTTACAGCAATCTTCCTGCCTCTGTTGCCAAAGTGCTGATCACCTTTGCATCACCCTACCCAACTCGACTACTTCCAAATATCTCAGATGGCTTTCATCCATACACAGTAGTTGTGGCAAATTCTTGTTTGCTAACCTGGCATGCTTCATGCATTGCTAACTATAACAAAGTTTTTTCCCCCCAACCTCAAATGGCTGCATTGTCTAACTGCCAACTATATATGAAATATTTTAGTGATTTATATTTTTTCCCCAAACCTGCTTCTGTAACAGATGACCAGCAAAAAATGGCCCAGACACAGCAACAAGTACCTACTTCAGCTCATGCTCAACCATCTACGAGAGCAGACTCTATATTTTAAAGATGATTAAAAGTGAGGCTAACTGGCTGGGGGAACTGGCTTAGCAGACAATACATTTGTCAGGAAAGCATGAGGACTTGAACGGAATCTGCATGAAACCAGGTGTCTGTATTCCCAGCACTCTTTAGGCAAGATGAGGGAGGCAACAAGAGAATCCTAAGAGAGCCAGTTAACCTGGAGTCTGCAAGCAGCTGTTAAGGAAACCATAGAACGTGAGGACTGACGCCCAGGGCTGCTCCCTGACCTCCGCTTGTGTGCCCAAAGTTACGTGCATATTCACACACATACACAAAGTGAAGCTAAAAGCGAAAATAATCTTTCCAGGTTAACCACAGCTGGAAAAATATTAACCAGGACTTCAATATGGGCATTCCATTTAACAATGTGTGTGTGTGTGTGTGTGTGTGTGTGTGTGTGTGTGTGTGTGTGTGTGTGTATGTGTGTGTGTGTGTGTTTAGGGACTCACAAGTGGAGGCCGGAGAATTTTTTTCGGGATCAGTTCTCTCCTTCATGGTGGTTTGGGCATGAAGCTCAAGTCATCACGTTTGCATGACAAGTGCTTTTACTGGCTGAGCCATCTCACTGGCCCCAGACGTTCTAATTTCTAGGTCTTTAGATGTATTCTATTTAATAGGACGTGCTGTCAGTTTTACTTCTTTTAGGGTTAGAATAAATAAGGGAAACATTGTATTACAGCTGTTGGCTAAGGGGAAAAGATCTTAGCAAAAGAAAAGAAACTGAGGTAATACGCTGAGATGGTCAGAAGGGCAACGCCAACAGAGCTATTTATGGAGCAGAAAGTTGAGATCAGAGGAAATGGAGTAAGACGTGGAAGAGAAAGTCAGTAATGGACACGATTAGGGAGAGGTGATGAAAGCCCCAGTAGCTCCGGGGATTGGAAGTCAACGGATCCTCCTGGAGCAGGGCAGCGGAGGACCCGGGTAAGAGTCCGAAGGCGGACCCGCTAGACGCCGGGAGCTCCCCCAGGGCCCGCCCACCTCGAGCTCGCTCCGCCCCCGCCCCTTCGCTCCGCCCCCGACTCCTCTCCCCGCCCCCGGTCTCTTAGGTGATGCTGCAGCCAAGATGGCGCTGGCGGCGTCGGCGGCGGCCTGAGCGTCATGCTCCGGGCTCTCGGCGGCGGCTGCGGCGGCTGCGGCCCTCGGCCAGGGCCTCGAGTCTCTCCCGAGAGTGAGCGCTCCGGCGCCTCTCCCCCGGCCCGGTGAGGCGGGCCCGAGAGGAGACCGCCGTGAAGAGAGGAGGCTGTGAGGAGGAACAGCGAGAGAGCGGCGGCTCGAGCCCGGCGGGCACCATGGCTGGGATCATCAAGAAACAGATCCTGAAGCACCTCTCCAGGTCAGCGAGCGTGCGAGCCGGTCCCTTCCGCTGGCCGCCGGGTCCCGGGCTCTCCCGATCGCTGGTGTTCCCCCCCCCCCCCCCCGACCGGCCCTCACGAGTCACGCGGAGGGTGGCCGGGGCTCGGCGGGCCGGGGTCTCCGCCGGAATGACGTCCCCGGCGTCACCCAGGTGCTGGGTTGGATGGGGTGGGCTGGAACCGGGTCGGGCTCGGCAGCTCCCGGGGCTCGGAGCCGAGCGGTTCCGTTACCCGAGGACTGCTGGGGTGTGTGTGTGTGTGTATATGTGTATTCGTGGACTCTCGGGGCTGAGGTTGCCTTCCCAGGGAAACGTTAACCTTGCGATTGTTCTCCGTGTCCCCTACCTGGCATTCCCTCTCTGTTGCATGGGAGGGTGTGCTTGTTTGCACAACTGGGATTTTGTTTTAGGTAAATAAGCAAGAGTTCTCAGCTTGGGCAAGTTCTTCACCGAGGCGTTTCAGTGCCCGCATCGCTCTTGCTGGAGAGTTTGCGGGTTTGGCTTCCGAGAACCCTTTTAATTTCAGGGAGTTAACGTCTCTGGTGTTTGAACCCAAGACGGATCATTCTTTCCATTTCATAACACAGTTTTAGTCAGAAACATGACTCAGTAAACTGGCAGTTTGTTACTGCTCTTGGCTTCTCCATATTTGTCTCAAGACACAGGCTAAATGTAGGCTCCTGTTCCAAGTTGGTGATAGGGAATTCAGAGCCCTTGGTTAGGATCTCACTCTCTGTTATTTGTAAGTTAATGAATACTTTTAGCTGATTAAAGGAGGTATAATGATGGACTTTTATAGTAAACATAAGTCTTCATTCTCCCGATTTATTTATACTCCAGGTGATACAGAGAACATACTGAACAAAAACAATACTGTGATTCAGCAGATATTTCCCTGACATTAGATTGAATAAAATTTAATACATATAGTATGTATGCATAAAAGTAACGAACTGTTGCAAAGTTTGTGACCATGTATTTGGTTCTTAAGATCACTAATTAGAAAGTGTGTGTGTGTGTGTGTGTGTGTGTGTGTGTGTGTGTGTGTGTATTTGAAACAGGTTATGTAGCTCAGGCTGTCCTGTAACTTATGCATGACAAATCCCAGGCTACCCTCAAGCTCAGGGTCATCTCACCTTAGCTTCCTGAGTACTTCCTGAGGTCTGTGCTACCACACCTTGTTGGGAATAAAATTATGTAGACAGTGCAATACTGAGTCATCTTATTTTGGAAGCGAGTTTTAGTTCTTTAAAATAATGTTTATGACTTAGGTAGGTCTGATTCATATGAGGTACATTTACTTACCCTTTCTTAGATCTAGTTCTATAATTCCGATCCACAGGCAATGGTTTGATTGCTTATTTCTTTCCCAAGGATAATGGTGCTGTACCACTCTGTGTGCCTAGAAGAAAATTTAATTCAATCGATAAGTGCCTTAGGGCATTATCCTTTAATTCTCTTGTACAAGTCCATTTGGGGAGAACTCTTAAGATTAAGAGCGGGAGTGTAATGGCTTACTTTATCACATAGATAATATCCGCATACTTATAGTTAAGTACTTAGGATTACTTATAATCTTCATGATTTCTTACACCTGTGTGGTAAATAGTAATGAGCATTTCTTTTCAAATCAGATAGTTTCTAGAACACTAGCATTTTCTTCCTTTTTAATGGAGAAATCATTTGCAGTTTATTTTTTTAAGATTATTATTTTATTTTTACATTTATTTACTGTTTATGTCCAAGTGTGCACATACGTGCTTGATCCAGCCAGTGTATGGGCGTCTGAGGACAGCTTGCAGAAGTTAGTTCTCACCTACTACCATGTGTGTTCTGGAGATGGGACTCAGTTTACCAAGCTGGTAGAGTGCTTGCGTATCATGCAGGAAGCACTGGGTTCAATCTCCAACATTTTATAAACTGAGTGTGTTGAGACATTCCTATAATCTCAGCACCCAGGAGGTGGAGGTTATCAATTCAAAGTTATCCTCAGAAGCTCAAGGTCATCCTTAGCACCATACCGAGTTTGAGGCCAGCCTGGAAGACTGAAATACATTGTGGGAGGGAAGTTGGTACCTGTCCTGTCATAGAAAAGAAGAATTAGGAAAATGTCCAAGTCCGTATAGGCTCTTTTGTAGGGACTCATCCAGGAAGAATTCTGTCTAGATCACTGGTCCTCAACCTTCTTGATGTTGCGACCCTTTAATACAGTTCCTCATGTTGTGCTGACCCCCAACCATAAAATTATTTTTATTGCTACTTCAAAACTTTAATTTTTCTACTGTTATGAATTATAATGTAAATATCTGATATGCAGGATATCTGATATGTCATCCCTATGAAAAGGTTATTTGACTTTGGAGGGGTTGTGACCCACAGGTTGAGAACCATTGGTCTAGAAAAAAATAGAATGCGCACTCTGAACGAACTGTAAGATTTTAAGATTGAAACTAGCAATATTGGAGACTGGGCAATACTTTTGAAGTTGGCATTTTGGAAAAGTGTGGACAAGGAATTGTTTTATAAGAGACTGGCACATACTTGAAGTAAATACTGAATGATTTGAGTATTGTCAGTCCATATCTCTGTTTCTTGCCTAATGTTTGTTTTCTGAGTGCCTCTTACGTTAATGAAAAGCTTGTGTACTTGCCTGATCTGAACTATGATCTGAACCCCCAGAGTGTGATGAGAAAAAGGAAGAGGTTAGAAGTGCTAAATTTTTAAGAGAAATGAAACAGGAAAAGCCATTCAAGGAGAAATTACCAAAGTATTTTAGACTAGAACAGGGTATGTGTTGAAGGTAGTTACAGGGGAATCTTTTTTCTTCCCCTCCCCCCATTAGGGAATACGAAGTTCTTTAAAATGTTCAAAGAAATAGAAGAAAGGAAGATGGAGCAGGAAGTACCTTTCATTTCACCTTTAGACCTTTTTATTTGTTACTCTGTGTCTCTCTGTGTACACGTGTGTAGATATGGGCGCAAGGACAAAAGATTCACATTTAATTCAGCTGGTGTCTGAAAAATGATAACAACGATCCAAGTACAAGTGCTCCCTTCCTGCCCCTTAGCCTCGGGACATAGTATATTACGTTTCTGGAGATGAGTTCGCCTGGTAGACTGCACCTCATCTGGGTGGAGCCTTTATCTTGTTTGAAGCTCTGATTGTCAATTGCTGCACTTTGTTCCTTGCGGGACATTTGGCAATGTTTTTGATTACTATGACTTGGAGGGTGGTTCCGTTGGCACCCGGTAGGTAGAGAAGCTAGACACTATCATGCACAGCACAGAGACTTCTAAGATAAAAACTCATCTGGCCCAAATGTCAGCAGCTGAAAAGCTGAGAAACTGGTTTAACATATGTAGCTGTGTATCAAACGGTTGAGCTGGATAACTTTGCTAGCTAAGGCTGCTTTGTCTGCAAACAACAGAAATGTGGCTATTTATGTAAAAAGGGAAATGTAGTTGAAGCTGTTGGGTGGGTCACAGATTCAGGGGAAGATCTGACCACAAACCCTGAGACAGGCGAACGCCACTGAGGCTCTGTGAATGTCCCTGGAAGAGGCCCTGGACCTTTATCTTCAGCAAGGTCTGTCAGCTCCACATCGTAGACTAGACAGTTCTTTGCTGTTGAGGACTCTTCCACGCAGTGTGGGTGTGGGGTGTTTAATATTTCTAAGAGTTTCCAAAAGTTCCCTGAGGCATAAAACTGCTCCGGTTGAAAATTGCTCCTTTGGCATGCTGGCCTGTTTCTTAGGACTCTTACTTTCTGATCTTTCCTGCCAACTTTTAAATTCTTGGGAGACAAAATCTTCATGGCCCAAGTCGAGCTATTCATAGATCAATTTGTGGTGACAAAGAGTTGAACAGTGTCTTGTTACCTTTCTGTAACTGTGAGGCGACACCATGACCAAGGCAACTTATAAAAAAAAAAAATCATTGAGTTGGGAGCTTACATTTCCAGAAGGTGTGTCTGTGACCATCATGGGGAGTGTGGCAGCAGGCAGTCAGACATAACACTGGGACGGCAGCTGAGAGCTCACGTCCTTACCCACAAGTAAGAGGCAGTGACAAAGTTCACTGGGAATAACAAGAACTTTTGAAACTCCAAAGCTGGCCTGCAGTGACTCACCTCCTCCTTCCTAGACAGCTCCACCAACTGAGGACCAAGCATTCAAGTAGATGAGCCTGTAAGGGGCATTCTCACTCAAACCACCACTGACAGCAAAGATCTGGTTATGGAGAGAGTGGTTTTGAATCAAGATTGCTGCTCATTTTGATGTCAGTAATAGGCTTAGCTAAATTAGATTTTCATGGGCCTCATTTGCTATGTTAAGGAAATTGAACTTCATACCTGGGCATGGGTGACAGCTAATAAGTAATTCCAGCTAATAGAAGGATGGTTAGTAAGAAGTCTTGTTTGTGGAGTCTAGGTCCGGGAACAATATCTGAAGTGGAAATATAGCATCCACAAATGAACTTGGAGTAGCTTACGTTGAACACTAATGTATCGGAAGGAGACTGATATCCTTCAGAACCTGGTGTCTGTCTGTTGCTCTGTGTTTGGAGAACCAGGTTTGGAAAGGTTCTGGGTTCAGCCAGCTGCAAAGATAGGAAGAGGAGAGCCTTCTATGTCTCAGTATGAGTTGTTGTGTAAACTAAGGGGGAGGGGAGGACAGTTTAAAGGGCGATTGCAGGCTGGGGAGATGGCTTGTGGGTAAAGTGCTTGCTTTGCAACCATGAGGACCTGAGTTCAGACCCCTAGCACCCACGTAACAGCCTGATGGAGCAGCATATCTTTAATCCCAGGGTTAGGAAGGTGGAGACAGGAGGCTTCCTAGAGTTTGCTGGCCAGCGAATCTAGCTGAATTGGTGAGCTCCAGGTTCAGTGAGACAGTCTATCTCAAAATATTTTTAAAAAAAAATGAGGTGGAGAGTGATTGAGGAGTGGAGAGTGATTGAGGTATTAACCTTTGACTTCCACAT